GAAAAAACTGCTAGTGAATGAGAGCATAACCGTGGTACGATTGTGGCAAATTCAACTCAAACAATAACGCTCAAGGCAAATTCACACACGGTAGTAACAAGAATACAAAAACAAAAATCCCATATATTTTGTTTGTATAATCATAGTTTGGAAAAGTGAAAAACGAAAATCGTTCAATGTATTTTGTTTGTGTAGACGAACGTTCGAAATGTCAAAAACCAATTTCTCATGTATTTTGTTTGTGTAATTTGTTGTAATGGTAGGAAGAACCAGCAATCATATGAGCTGACAACTTCATCTTCTATAAATTCGCCTTGATAACGCTGTTCGGTGCGAAATGTCAGTAAGAATTAGCCAGTAACGAAATTGAGTGTGTAAGATGTCTTACTCCCACAAAGAGAGAAATTTACTGAGCTCTCATCGAATAGAATTCAAGAAAAGTTAGCCAGCATATTGAACAAGAGCTGTTTGTTGTGGCAGTTCAATTTGAATCTGCTTTTAGGAAATATAATAAAATTGGCTATTATTTGGCATTTTCAATTTATTAAATTGCACTAAATGAACATTGAATGCAACAATATGATGAAATTCTATATGCCTCAAAGCCGTCAAACCATAAAGATACCACTTTGTCATCTCTGATAGTCCTCTGAAAGAACGTAGATTTATGTGAAACTTGCTGTGGAACAGTTTCTTGCTTAGATCTTAGGGTAGAACTGAATTGCGGATGCGTCTTAATGTTTTTCAAAGAAATGGATGGAACTACAGTTCATTCCAATCCACCTTCGAACGGCCGATGGGTTTGTTTTGTTTCATGGCAGAGATATACCCGAAGGACTTGACATTACCTGCCGAGCGATGACTGCAATTAAAAAACTAATTAAGAATGCATTATCGTCACTTAAACCGTAGCAACAACTTTGCTTCGCAGTGTTTTGTAACTCATTTGGTCATCAGTGATTACTAGTAAATTAAAGCAATCTAAATTAGCCACTGTGGTTCTTAACAGCGAACACTCTGATTAGGAAACAGCGTAACACAGGTTGTGGCATACGCTGATGACTTTGCCCTGACAGCGACAGGAAAACGTCTACAAACATTTAGCTATTTATTCCAAATGCTCTTTGTATAGTTGAGAGATGGTGCAGAGATAGCGCGCTGGACAGAGATGGATTGGGATAAACTTAGACAGAGGTAAACTAAACTGGAGCCGAAGTACGGCAGCAAGATCAAGGAAAGCTATTGCTGCACTCTACGCCTGCGAAACGGCGATAGGAAAGAGATGTGGTTTAAGAACGAGTATCATGCATTGGATATACACGTAGGTAGTTAGACCAATCCTCATCGTCTGGTGGCCGGCGCTCGATAAAATCACCTTCAGGAGCAAATTAGAGACAGCTCAACGATCGGCGTCCATGCTGATAATGGAAGCATTGCTATCAAATCCCTCGAAGTACTGCTAACTAAAAACAGGACAAACAAAAATATTATCTCTCACAGAAGTGTCGAAGGAGGTGGACTACATCACCTCCAGTGTATGCTTCGATAATCTTTTCTCCACAAGCCCCCGACCAGAGAGCAAAAGCCATCTTCACAGATGGCTCGAAACTTGATGGGAGGGTGGGTTGCGGAATTTATTCTCTCGTGCTCTCAGTAAGCATGAGCATGAAAATAACGGATCATTGCAGCGTTCTCCAGGCGGACTCTTCGCAATAATGGAGACCGCCGAATAGTTGCACAAATTTACCGCAGCAGAACAAACGGTTACAATTAACTCCAATAGTCAGGCTGCAATCAGATCTCTTCAATGTAACGGTACCACGTCAAAAGTGACGATAAACTGTAGAAACACTCTCAACAAACTCTCAACGAAGTACAGTACTGCCATGGTCTGGGTACCTAGACATAGTGATGTCCCAGGCAATTGCATGGCAGACAAACTAGCAAGGGAAGGAACCCTTCTATCTACGCTGATTTACCTCTGACCTTCACCAGCGAAGCTGAGTCACGATAGTTGAACGAGATCACATGTAACGTGGCCAGACAACTATGGCCGAAGTTGGAAGCGAAAAAATCCAAACATCTCATCCCTCTAGACCGGTTCTCCTTTAACATAACGACGGGTATAATAACTGCACACTGTTTAATGGGGCTTCACGGTATTAGGATGGGTTTTTACTCTAACTGCCGCGGCTGTAGGGTTGAAGAAGAGGAGGAGACTATCGAGCACTAACTCTACCACTTTCCAGCCTTGGCATCCGCAAGACACAAGTTTCTTAGGAAACACTTTTCGACTGTCTCGCTGAGTTGGCCTCATTGAATCTGGGAAATCTCGTTGCCTTTAAAAGGCACAAGAAATGGTTCGATCATTTGAGAAGGTGAAGACAGGAACCTCAGCGGTATCACATGGGCCTATTAGCCTAAGTTTGCTGAGGTCGACCAGCAGCCGCATCAACTCAACTCAACTCTCAAAATCAGCCAGCATTAAAAGAAAAAGTAAGACTTTCTTTTAGCCTCCAATATTCCTCAATGCAATTTGCGCTGTGTGCGGGCGATGATTACACTCTACTCTAAATTTAACAAAATAACATTGGGACACTCATTTCGTTAGCGTTCATTCATTCATATTAAAGTATTAATATTATTTTCATTTTAAATAAAATTTGGTTTATTGGCGAAAATGCAACTATAGGATCCCAAATCAGTTGTTTTTCACACTTTTGCTCGTTTTTGCTGGCTGAAATTTTCTCAACACAGATTTGCAACATCAGCGAACAGAACTAATAACAACAAGCTGACACGGAGTAGCGTTTTTGTTCTGACAATGTGTGTGACAACCATAAATAGAGTCCTGTATATGGGTAAAGGATATTTTCCTTCCACAGTTCATTTATTTATATTCTATGACTTTGTTTTCTTGTTGCGTACCATAGCAAGCATTTCCTAGATTAAGCGAATGCCACTGTTGTAAATTGATTTATTTCGTGTAGTAATTTTTTTTTAATTCTTTTATTTTTATATTTGCTATAATTATTATTTAATTATTTTAAAAAATGTTTTTTTTTTTCTTATAATTTTCGACCAACCGCTTGGTTTCAATGTTTTTCAACTCTGACTTTTCCTAAGCAATTTCATTTACTATACAATGCCAGCGATTTTTGTATTAAATACATGCAGATTTCGTAGATTTTTTTCTAATTATAATTACGATTTCATTTTTTAATTTTTATATTAAAATTTTAACTAAAAATTATTTCCATTTGCTTTGCGCTACTCTAGTCATTCATATAAACTACAGGGTTTTTGTGTGTGTTTTAATTGTTTATTTCTTATTCTTGTTTTTTACTTGCGATTTTTGTCTAACTCAACTGTTTTCTTATGATTTTTTTTTCACGTTTTCACTCTTGTTTGTTTGTTTGTTTGTTTGCCTGTGTGTGCTTAGGTGTTTGTATTTTTGTGTGACGACATTAACTGCTTAGGTTTTTTGCTCTTATATTATATTATAAGAAATTGTTAGGCATGTATGTTTGTATGTTTGTATGTAGGTATTTATTGATTTATAAAACAGTATATTACACTAAGCGCTTACAAAGTTTAACTAACATACTTCCACATATAGATTTTTTTCTTTATAATTTGTAATAAATACACATACCCGAAAGTCCGAATATATACTTATTCATACATAATATACTTGCGCTTTTAGGTGCACTTGATTTTTTCTTTTTGTTTTTCTTTTTCTTTTATTCTATTTTTTCTGTTGTTTAGCGTAGACTTAGAATAGAATTGCTGCACACAAACTAGTTTACGCTTTGGCGTTACGCGGCGTGGCGCCCCTAAATAAGTGTTTACGGTTCGCTGTTAATTTTTGGAAATTTTTTTTTATTTTTATTAATTTTTTTTTTGTAAGGTTTTATTTACTAATAATAAGCTAGCATATATATATGTATATATAAATATATACTTTATTTTGACCCACATTCTTTTGTTTAAATATAGTTTAATTTTTACTCACTTATTAATTAATATATATATTTTTTTCATAATTTTACTTATCAAACACACTTCAACTCTCGCTTACTAAGCCTTATTTAATTAATTATTATTTTTTTTAGCTTAATTTAATTAATTTTACTTGCAGCTGTAGCATTTAATAATTACATTTTAAGTTAATTTTGCTTTTGGTGATTATTTGTTGTTGCTTTAAATTTCATTTTTCCAGTTTATTTCTAATATTATTTATATTATTATTATTTTTTTTTTGGTGTAAAGCAATTTGTTTTTTTAATTTTTTTTTAGAAAATGTTTATTTTTGTTTTACTTTTCAGCTGCAATTTAAATGACTTTTTCACGAAATTTTTTAAAATTAATTTTTTGTTTTTTATTTTATACTTTTTAATTTTATTTTTACATGTATATTTTTGTACAACAAAAAAATTAAAAAATAACTCGAAAAATAAGATACAAGACACTTAGCCTTCAATTACAAATGTATGTATACATATATATTGTATATATATATACATATATAGTATTTGTGTAAATCGTAAATTAGAAAATGTAACGGAAATATAAATGGCAAATACGTATATGTATGTATTTGCTTACCTAAACCAGTATATAAATTATTGTTTCAATAATTATTTGTTTTACTACAAATGTAGTTTATATGTATATCGTTTTGTGTACATTTTTCAGTTAATTAATTATATTGTTTTGTTTTTGATTTTCTTTTGTTTTGCCTTATATGCATAAATATATATATACTATACATATATATCACTATACATATATGTATTTATATGTTTATGTAGTTTTACATGTATAAAATGAATTTGCAAACTTATGCATTGTGTTTTTGCAGTATGTGTGATTGTTTTACTGTATACTACTGTACGGTATTGCTAATTTATTTTTATTTTATTTTGTTTGGCGCCGTGTGATTTGCTTTGATTTTGAAATTTTAAACCATTAAACATATTTACAAAAATTTGCTAAAATCGAATTTCAATTGTAAACGAATTTTTTATAATAGTTAAGTTTGTTTAAGCGCATAAAGTTGAAAACAATATGGTTGGCAACAAAAGTGTTGAACAACAAAAGCATTTGAAGTAAAAAGAAAATATTTACAGCAACATTTATGATACACATATTTGCCCGCAACATTTGTGTAAATTAATTTCGAAAACAAAATTTATTTATACTATTAAATTAGAAAAATTTGATTTCACATTCTTAAATTGATATTTTTAAATTTTCAATATTTAGTAATATAAAAGTTTAAATTATGTTGAGCAACATTGCTTGGCAACATTGGAAAAAATTGAATTTTTTAAATTGATGTTTTTGTATTTATATGATTTATTTTGTGGAATTTATGAATAGCAAATTTGTGGAGGTTATGTTTAGCAACATTATTTAAATTATGTTTAGCAACATTGTTGGGCAACATTAAAAAATAATTAGGTTTACATTTTATTTAATTTATTTTTTAAGCAATTTTTTTTTTAAATTAACATTCGGATTTTATTTTCAGCAAATTTGAATGCTTAAATTATGTTACACAACATTTTTGGGCAACATTAAAAAATAATTTGATTTTTTATTCAATTTATTTTTTAAATATTTTTTTTTTTAATTAGCCTTTCGATTTTTTTTTTTAGCAAATTTGAATGCTTAAATATGTTTAGCAACATTAAAAAATGTCAACTTACGTTTTTGAATTTCAAATTTATATATTATTTTTATTTAACAAGAAATAAATATTTTTGAAGAATAATAAATATAAATTTTCATAACATAGAATATACAATTTAAATTCAGCCGCAAATCACACAGCGCTAACTAGAGCTTAGCAACAATTTCTTGGCGGCATGTTGCTAAAAAAATTTACTTAGCTGCGCATTTCTTGTTGCTCTTACTAAATAAGCGCATGCGTATGTAATGCGCATTTATGGCTTGTATACATGCATATATATGAAGTAAGTATGTGTTTCCAATGTGTGTGTTGATGGTGTATAAATTTATAAATTGATTTTGATGCATGTATATATATGTATATGTGTGTGTCTGTGTGTATATAAGATAATAAAAAAATTAATGCTCATTAACTTTTTCTACTTTTGCACGGTTTTGTTTGCCTTTTTATGTTTGTTTTGTTATTTCTGTGTTTCTCATTTCCTTCGCTCATTAGTTTTTAAATTAAATTTCTTTTTGTAACAACTATTATTTAATTATGTAATTAATTAATTAGAAACTTATATTTTTCTTGCTTTATTTTTGATTTTTTTTTGTGATTTTTTCTTCCCCCTTTTTTGTTTTTGTTTTTGCTTTGTTTTTAATTTGTTTGTGTTTTTTATGTGTTATGCTTTTTTGTTTTGTGGTGTTTTTGTTTTTGTGTTTTCTTAGCTTTTTTTGTAGTTGTTGGCTTAAATGCTACAGTCGCTGCTGCCGCTGGCGTCGCCGTATCCGTCGCCCTAGGCGTCACCGCTGCATTTGCCACCGGCAGCGCCGCTGTGCCTGTGGCCCTATATTATTTTTGTTGTTGTGGTACTTTCCGTTGTGTCAGCTGCACTTTGGCATTGCCATCACCACCAGCCGCCAATTTGGCGGTATAGCCATTCGCCAGCAGTGGCACATCGCCATTCTTATGCCCCGTGCTGCTGCCACCGTTCGCCAGCGTTGATGTTTTGATGCTGCCATTCAGAGTGGCGCCATTACCGTTGATCAGTGGCGATGTTTTATAGCCATTCTTTGGATAACCATTTGGCATGCTGCCGTTGCTGATGACGCCATTGCCGGCTATATGGCCGTTCGCAAGTAATGTCCGCTGCTCTTCCTCTGCTTTGTCGCTGATTGGCTGCTGCACGTCCACATCATAGTCCTTATCTTTGCGCTGCAAAATGAACATCAATAAATTCTTGTGCTTCTATTTGGTTATAAACAAAAAATAATTTTAATAATATTATATTTGAATAATCACAATAACAAAACATTCCACCAAAAACAATATGCGTTCGCATGTGTGCGTTTTGTTATTGTTGTGCAAATGGAAAGTTGAGGTGTGGTAGGTGCATTTGAGGTGATAGTCGTACATATACATATACACATACATATACACATCCATATAACACCACACACACACACGCACATATACACAAATATAGATGTAAACAATAATATGAGTTTTATATAAACGTGAATGTTGTTATTATTATTTTTTTTTTTAATTTTTCGTTGATTGATGATTTGATAGAATGCAGCATGAATGATTCATTGTTGTTGTTGTTTTTTTTATATTTCATTGCACGATGAATGGTTTGACAGTAGTAGTTAGCAGTAGAGAGTAGAAGCAGAAGATTTGTTGTTGTTGCAGTTGTTACAGTTGTTTACAGTTGTTTGCGAAACGGCAAGCAAGCATACGAGACGAGCGATGAAACGAAAACGGAAAAAATTTCAAATTATTTAGCAACAAGTTCTTAGCTTAAGTCTTTTATTTTTGTTAAATTTTTTTTATTATTTTCTCAATTTCTTGTTTTTTCGGTTGGTGAATAAGCACATCGACAGCGGACACAACGAAAATTTCACTCTTTTTATATATGTATGTATGTATGTAGTTTAAATATGTTATGTTTATTGAAAAGCAGTGATAGCGTGTTACACAATAATATTAATGTTACGTAGCGTGTACATATTTATGTCAGTGTGTAAATTTATACGTAGTTACGATGATTTAAGCATGATTAAAAAATAGCAAAATGTTATAATTTTAATAAAATTATTTTTATTTAAAAAAAAAATTATTTTTTTAAATAAATTTGAAATAAAAAAAATGTATACGTGTGTGTAAAAAGTATTTTTATATTTTAAAAATATTTTAAAAATGTTGGAATTAAAATTAATTACTACTGATTCGAAAATTATAGTTGGAAATATTTGGGGAAAAGTGACAAGGCGCAAGTACAAATATACTTTAATAAAATCAAACATTTTCTAAACTTCTGAAAGCATATTTTAACATTATTATTGCAATTTTTGATATCTCGTTAACATTAGGTTTTACAAATTTCAGAAACTTCATAATCTCATTTAACACTTTCGGCGTCATTAAAGTGACGAAAAATTAAAAACGTTGCCTACATTTAGGATGATGTTTAACTGAGACTACAAATTATTGATTTTTTTTATTTTTACACTTTTTATGAACATGAGATGATATTAACTTTACTCTCAAATATGTATGCTTTAGAAGGAGAATAAATAGAAATATTCCAAGCATTCGAGTTCTGACTAGAACAACGGTCCGAATTATAAAAAAAATAATTTCCTCGATATGGCATAAAAATGACCATGAGCATATGCTGATAAGAAAAAATTTCCATACTGAAAGTCCATCAGTTATTAGAAGAAATCTTAGAAAAATCGAAGTCCTACCAACATCTAGACGCATCCCAAAAATTGTAGAAAGACTACGGTGGAAGATCGCTTTAGTGGCCAAAAAGCAACAATGATATGTACGTGTATATATAGCATTTGCGGGAACCAGCGTGATCATTTATAATGCATAGCTTCCGCACAGATAAAGTTCGAATTCTCAAAATCGGCAAGATCGTACTGCGGAAGCTTGAATGCCAAAGCAAAAAAAAAAAAATTTGGCACTTTTTACATATTTTTATATTTTCTTCTGCAAAAATTTTATTTACACTACCACTGATATGAAAATTTAGTACTAAAACTAATCAAATCAGACACTGAAGAAGTCATCTTCACAGTAATACAAAATCTTAATATCTATGCTCTAATTAAATGGAATTTCAAATATTTTCTGAGTAGTGCTGACAAGAAATCAACAAAAGAGAGAAAGACAGGAACACGTTTATAAATTAAGAAAAGATAAAAAAACAACTTCTTTGATTTATGGCTACACTCCTTCATATCTTTTTAGTTCCTCTTCTACTTTTTCTCCATTTGTATGTTTTAGTCTATCATTAATGCTTATTACAACCAACAAACGAAATCATAGACATTATTAGCATATTGCATCTGAAAGATGCAGACAAACATTCCACACCTAAATATTACGTTATGGGAATTATGTTAAGAAACCATCGAGTTCGTGGTAAAGCGCAACCGTATAGCCTAGTAACCGAGTAAGAAGAAACCGACGAAAAAATTAAGAAAAAAGAAAACAAAAATACGCAGAAAACATGCACGCTTTAGTAGCAAACCATGATATTCATTGTTCAATTATGTAATCATCGAAACTTTCACTTGCATCACCGGCGGCGGTAAGCAGCAAGCACCAAGCACCAAGCGTCAACACCATCGCCATAGTCATCGTATGTGGTGCTATTGTTGTCATCGCCAAGCAAATGATTATTGCTTCTCTTTTTTATTTAGCGCCGGTTTCTTACTGAGCTTTCGAAAGCATTAGGAGGCGTTTCGACTTTGCGATTTGGTGCCGTTATTTCGTTGAAGTTTTTGATTTTATTTGTTTCTTCTTGGGTTTTACGCTGTTTGTAATTATCGTGTAGCTTGTTTCTATGTTCAAAATGCATAAATGCGTACATATTTATTTTTTAGCCGTCTCAAAGGGAATTTTTTTGATAGGTGTCTAAATTGATGTAAGAAAACTTATATTTTATTTTTATATATTCCAAGTTGTGATCGAGGGCCAACATATTTATATCAAGAGAAATATGTGTAGGCTGAGCCTGAATAAATACGTCAAAAACTAGGAAAGGAATATGCCATTGTACAATATAATAATTTTTTAATGACTAATTTTTCATTTAATATTTTTTTATTGTAATTTGTTTTATTACTTAATTTAATTTATATAATTTATTTTATTATAATCTTATTTTATTTTAAGTGATGTGATGTTATGTTATTTATTTTATTTTATTTTATATTATCTTTTTTACTTTAATTTATTTGATTTTATTGTATTGTATTTAGTTTAATTTTATTTTATTTAACTTAATTTTATTTTACTTTGTTTTATTTTATTTTACTTTATTTTATTTTATTTTATTATTTTTTTTATCTTTTTTTATTTAATTTAATTTAATATATTTTTATTTGTTTTAATTTTTTTTTAATTTTTTTTTAATATAATATTATATTTTATTTTATTTTATTTTATTTTGTTTTATTTTATTTTATTTTATTTTATTTTATTTTATTTTATTTTATTTTATTTCATTTTATTTTATTTTATTTTATTTAATTTAATTTAATTTTATTTTATTTTATTTTCTTTTAATTTATTTTGATTAAGATTATTTTATTTGTTTTAATTTAATTTATTATATTTTATTTTATATTATTTTAATTTATTTTATTTTAGTTTATTTTATATATGTATTATAGCCCTTGATATCCGCTGAAGTGATTTTTAGCGAATTTGTGGTGCGTGTCTTTGGGATGTTTGAACGAGTAGAGGGACCTATAATTTATTCTGAGCCGGCTTCTTGCGGATGCGCTTTTACTACGTTATTTTATTTCATGTCAGAAACACTTCCTTCACCTCCTTCCCAAAAGGTAACCGCAACAAAAATATATGCATATTTTTTTAATTTTTGATGTTGGTCGGACTTAGGATATTTCTTTCGACTAAGAGCCATAAAATATTAATGGAAATTTATCATCAGGAAGGCCTTCGCTTAAATTTGGTTTCCAAGACAGTCCAAAGTGACTCGAACATTTTGAAACTTTTTAGTTTGTAAAACATACCTAAACCTTTTTCGATTTTGCAGCTTTAAATCAACGTTCTTTAAAATTCATTTTCAGTAATTGTTTGCTAAACATAATATATCTTCATGCTTTTTATGTAGAACATTTTATTATAATTTTGAATTTTGGAGTATCCAATATTTATGAAAAATTTATACAAAAATTCCAAAATCGAATTCGAAAAAATTCAATGCAATTATAAGATATCAAGAGCTAAAGATTTGCTAGAGAATGGAATTGTAGGTAGTTTACAAGAATATTGGAATGAGCATAAATTCTTCTGATGCACTTCGATGTATACTGAAAGCATATTGCGTGCTTTTAATTCTGGTAACCTTTCTTTTTACGCTTCTAGAGCATCGTTGCTGTAGTATATTAGATTTGCTGTTTCTCTGACCTGAAAGCGCCGAGTGAGCTTGCATCCGACTATGTACAGTCTCCTGTGTAATTATATAATTGGTGTTGGTTTCCAATACAAAAAATGCCATTTAACAAAATTTTACACGCACATACATATATAAATATTTAACACAAAATAAAGAAAAATATGTAAGCAATTAATGAAAAAAGATTTGTGAAAAAATAACGATTAGTTAGTGTGAAACTAAGGAAAGAATAGAGTAAGCTTATATTAATAAATATTTATTCATTGCAAACATACACACATACAAATTGAAAAATGTGTGAGTATGATAAGATGTGCAGTGCTACTGAGGAAAAAAGTAAAATTAAACGCTGCGCTTAGAGATTTGATCTAATATCAGTCGACTCCACTTAATTGCACGAAATATACTTCAACCATTTTCAAAAACGCGTTGCTTTCTTTTGGAATTTTGATTTTTATTCTTTTTGTTTCTAATTATTTTAAAAAAAAAAAAAGTGAAAGTTATTTTATTACTTCATTTTTTTATTTTCCTTTTTATTTTAAATTCTTCTTTATTATATTTTATTTTCCTTGTTATTTATTTAATTTTATTTTAAAATTGTATATATTTGTTTTATTTAATTTTAATTTTAATTTTAATTTTAATTTCAATTTTATTTTTAAGTTTGACGTAGTTTTATTTAGTTTAATTTGATTTAATTTTTATTACATATTTATAAATTGACGCTTTGTCACCGCTGAAGCGATTTGACATTCCCTGTCGAGTGGCGATCGTAATTAGAAAATATCACTTAATTTTTTATTTAATTCCGGGCCTACTGGATGGTAGAACATAGTGCTAACCACTCGGCTAACGCGGTTGCAATTTATTTTCTTTTACTTAATTTTTTTTAATGTATTTAATTTTTATTTTATATATTTCATTTTGTTATATTTTATTCTATTTTATTAATTTTTTTATTGTTTGTTTAATATATTTACATTTTATTTTTAATTTAGTTTTGTTTAATTTTGTATAATTTGCTGTAATTTAATTTTTCCTTATTTTATTTGATTTGTTTTTTAATATAATTTAATTAATTACTATTAAACTTATTTTATTTTCCTTAACTCTTTCTTATTATATTTGATTTTTTTTAATTTTTTATTTTATTTTATTTTATTTTATTTTATTTTATTTTATTTTATTTTATTTTATTTTATTTTATTTTATTTTATTTTATTTTATTTTATTTTATTTCATTTTATTGTTTATTTCATTTTATTGTTTATTTAATTTATTTTTATTTATTTTATTTTATCTTTTTTATTTGAATCTATTTCATTCATTTTTGTTTGATTTATTTTTTTGTTTTATTTGAGCTTAAACATATTAAATTTTTTATTTAAATTATTATATTAAATTACTCATATTCTTGTAATTATTTTATTTTATTTCATTTCATTTTATTTTAATTTATTTTGAATTATTTTATTTTATGTTTAATATTTTTTTAAATTTTTTTTTGTATTTTTTATCATATTGGTGTATTGTATTTTATTATTCCAATTTATTTGATTTTATTTTTATTCTTTAAATTAATTTAATTTAATTTAATTTAATTTTTTAATTAATTTTAATTTATTTTATTTTCTCAAATTTATTTCATTTATTTAGTTTTCATTAAATGTATTTATTATACTTAGTTTTTAATTTTTATATTGTGTATTTATTTCAATTTGATTTGATTTGATTTTACTTTATTTTACATTATTTTATTTGTTTTATTTTATTCTATTTCCTCCATTTTTATTAATTTTTTATTTTTTTTTTCTTTCATTTGAACTTAAATTAAATTATTTATTTTATTAATGTTTTATTATTTACATATTTATTATTATTTTATTGTAATTTATTTATATTTCTTTATTTAGCTTTATTTTATATAAGGAATGGTAAAAATTTATCACAAAAAATTTAACATGCATAAGTGGACTCGATTGTAATTTGCAACATAACATATTTATCTACAATACATACATTTGTGTTGTGAGTATCAATTTTCTAAAGTGGGCATGATGTGCTTATCGCCAGTGTGGTATTAACAGAATATTAAAATAGTAGTATGCCTCTACGCATACAAACTTACCATGCGACGTCCCTTATAGGCGTTCTTGTAGAATTCATTGAACAAGAAGAAGAACATCACAGCATGCATGCCGATCCACCAAACAAACGCCTTTGGATAATTGCAATCGATGAAGAGCAATTGGAAAGCGTGCACCATGATCAGCACAAATTGAACCTACGCAAAGGGAGAAACTACATATTAATATTCATATATATTACTTTATATATATATTCGATGTGCCATTTGATACTTTACCATCTGTAATGTGGTCAGATATTTCTTCCACCACAAATATTTCTGATATTGCGGACCCATGGCCGAGAACATATAGTACGTATACATAACGATGTGTACGAATGTGTTGAGCAGACCGAAGAAAGTGCTGTGACCACCTGTTTGAAGTGAGTGAAAGAAACAGATAAACAGAGAAGGAGAGTGAGACGATTCCGAGTGAGAAACAATTTTTCAAATGTAAGCGAAAGCGTAAAGACAAGTGTACGTTAAGTTATGTAAGCGTATTTTGGAGGTCAACTTTGACGATATGTACTTATGTATGTATGTGCAGACAAAGCACGTACGTGTTATTCATTGATTTAGATACATACAAACATACTAAACTGAAATGTGTCTTTACGCACCTGGTGTGAACTTGACACCAAACCAGACAGACATTGGCATGCAGCCGTGATGTATGACATGCAGCGTCGTTACCTGGCTCGTCTTTTTACGCAGCACAAAGAAGATCTGCAAGAAATAACCAAAATAAAAAGAATAGCATACAAATATATTAGTAACTTCAAATTTTCAATTATTCGAAAATATGTGTATTAAAATTCATAGTTTAAGTTTTAAGAATAAGTGATCAAAGAAAGTCTACGCCAGGGTTATATTTTCAAGTTTAAGCAAATAGATCAAAACATATAAATATTCGAAATCATTATTTTGCAGAAAATTAGCAACTCAGTCCGAAAAGATACACTCATTTTGCCACCTTTCTACTAATCTCTTCGTTAAGCTGCAGTGAAATCCAGCTGCTCAAGTGTAAACTCCATGTAGTCCAGGGATGTACCTTGTAGATCATGAGCATAGGCTGCTAGTCAGTTTAACTGCTGATCACATTAATGAACCTCCACTATCGTAGGCTTACATTATTGCTCATCAGTTATGCCAAAAAAATGAAGTTGCCAAAACTATCAGGTGTACAACTTTGCTTCCGCCGTTTTCCGATAGGTGGCTGTACCGGCTGAGGCTGGTTGAAATACATAGATGATAATGCCTTTAAAGTGAATGTGGATGTTGTCATCGTCGTTTCAGTGACAGTTGTTCTTGTTTTCGTATTATTCACGCTCGAAAATGTCCGTTTATGTGCCTAATTCTCGCCGTTTGCGGGAAGTTTTACTTTTCTGTTACAATTCGAAAAAAAATGCAGCTGAAGCGCATCGAATGCTCTCAGAAACTTACGGTGATGCTGCTCTGAGTGAAAGAACGTGTCGGGAGTGGTTTCAACGTTTTAAAAATGGTGATTTCTATGTCGAAGACAAACAAGGTTAAGATTTGTATTTGGTGGGATCAGCTCGGTGTGATTTACTACGAGCTCTTAAAACCTGGTGAAATCATCACAGGAGATCGCTACTGAACGCAACTGATGCGCCTTAGGTGCGCGCTAAAAGAAAAGCGGCCACAATATCAAGAGCGACATGACAAAGTCATCCTCCAACACGACAATGCTCGGCCTAACGTCGCAAAAGTGGTGAAAAAGTACCTGGAAACGCTGAAATGGGAAGTCTTGCCCCACTCGCCGTATTCCCCAGATGTCGACCATTCTGACTTCCACCTATTCCGTTCGATGGCACATGGCCTGGCAGATCAACATTTTCAATCCTTCGAAGAATTGGAAAAATTGATTGCTTCATGGATAGCGTCATAAGAGTAATCTTTTTTTTTGAGCCGGGATCCGAAAGTATCCGAAAAGATGGGAGAAAGTTGTCGCTAGCGAAGGACAATACTTTGAATAATATATCTCTAAGCACTTTTTCGCAATAAAGCTTTTAATTTTGGAAAAAAAACGGCGGAAGCAAAGATGTACACCTGATAAATTGAAAACTAAGTCTACCAGCGTCTGATCTGAATGACATGAGCTTTAGCGGTTACTGACCAAGAAGTACCATCGCTCTTAAACAAGCGCGTTACTTAATCCGTTCCCTTTGGTTGGTTTGTAAATAAATTGATTGGAATCTCATTTAATAACTTTGACTCCTATGTATGCTTCGTTAAGCTAGTGATTGGTCGTACGAAAAACAAAACACTAACTTTAAAATAAAATGTAGCATAGAGATGGCTAAATTATTAAAACTACGCAATCTATCATTGAAAACAGCGGTACCTTTCGGATAATCTCACTTTCACAAAGAACAAACAAGAACTGAAACTCTCTGCCTCACTGAGCTGCCTCTGAAGAAAAGTGCTCAAAGATCTGTCAAAGGCAGGGCGGCACTCGTTTTGTTGTCTCGGAAAATGAAGAGTGTAAGAACAAGAAAGAATGGAGCACGTGCCCATGAGGTGGCAGTGAGAGAGAACAGAAGCAACAAGAAACAGCAAATGCAGCTCTTTTGTCAGTAGGCGATCAGTTATCAGACTAGAGGTCCTAAAATTTCTCCTGGAAACGAAATCGCCAGTCAGGAATGAGCAGCACGCAGAGGCCATAACGTACACCAATGCCAAGTGAACATGTCCAAGCGTTGAACGCCTCAGACTCTCATACAGACACGAGTCGTCCAAGCGACAACCTTAGGAAGAGGAAGGTCAAATAGAAGTATCTCATGGAAAGGAGCACAACTACAATGAGTCAACAGCTCCCGGCGGTAATTAGGTTTCGAACTAGACGAAAACATAATGGGAGCGTGGTATAGGTCACTCTTCAAACAAGAAGTCAGATAAGCTCGAGAACAGATTATCTCGCCTACAGACGAAGAAAAGCCGACAGACAGATTTTGAAAGCCTCAGAACTAGGGTGTACTGGGGAAAGCGACCACCCAAAAAGATTTGTCTTATAGAAGATGTCTCATAAGAAGACCTATCATTGTGAATATTTCCATTCTTTAAAGTTATGGACCTTAATGTTATGAAGCACTTCAGTTGACACTTCGGGAAATCAACCTAAGCTATCACTCAATAAAAAAGTTTTAATTTTATCTTCAACGTACTAAGCTAAAAAAACAAAACAAAATAGTAATTGCCATAAAATGTTAACTCTTATAAATTTTCCAGAAAGTTTCGAAAACAAAAACTATACTCAACTAACATTTTACCCAAGGATCCGCATGACAAAATGCCACTGTGCATTTGTATTCATTGCGATCAGAAAAGTTAATTTATTCAAAATACATACGAAAATATATCTAAAAGGCAATGAACGATTATTTGCGAAAATTATGCAAATATTTATATTTCAAAACACTACACAAAGGTTTGTGAAAAAAAAAATAAAAACACAAATAAGAACTACTAAATGAAGACATTAACGCCGGCATTATTAATAACTAAGTTTATAAAAACAAAAATTATAACAATAATAAAGATTTTTAACTGACAACGTAAACAGATTTTTGGCTGCATTCTTGGGATGCTAAAGCGATTTTTAATAAAAGGTTAAGTAAAAAGTTCGTTCGTTTTTTTTTTTATTTAAGAGATGGCGTTATTGTCCATAGCACTAGTGTTACGTGTAGCATTATGTCATACTATACGGCGCTGAAAATGTGTTTATTCGCGCTAAAAGTTTGTCTTGGACAGTTTTTCGATTGGTTGTCTCAGTATGTAGTGAGCGCTCGTCAAAGATGGACACCAGCAAAGAGAAAATTCGCTAAATTTTACACTTTTCCTTCGATCAAGGCGAAAAAGCAGCCAAAGCGGCTGAAAAAATTAATATAGTTTATTGGACCGATACTGTAAACAAACGTTTAGCACAAAAGTGGTTTGCTAAGTTCCGTTCCAGTAATTTCGATGTCAAAGATGCACCACGCGTCGGGAGGTCTGTCATCGAAAATTGCGTTAAAATCATGGAAATAGTAGAAACAGACAGTCACGTGAGCGCTTATTCCAATTGCTGAGGAGCTAAAGATAAACCAAAAACCGCCTGGAACCATTTGCATAACCCTGGATCCAAAAAGAAGCTGTTCAATGTTCGGGTGCCACACGAACTAACGCAAAAAAACATTATGGACCGAATTTCCATCTGCGAATCGCTTGAATCGGAACAAAATCGACCCGTTTCTGAAGTGGATTGTGACTGGCGATGAAAAATGGGTCACTTACGACAACATCGAGCGCAAACGGTCATGGTCAAAGCTCGTTGAAGAGGCCCAGACGGCGGCCAAGATCGGATTGACGGCCAGAAATGTCAAAACCTTTGTGTTTCATGGGATTGGCAAGGAATCATCTACTACGAGCTGCTCCCCTATGGCCAAATGCTCAATTCAGCCCTCTCCTGCCAACAGTTGGACCGCATGAAGGCAGCACTCATCCAGAAGAGGCCATCTTTGATCAACAGAGGCCGAATTGTGTTCCATCAGGACAACGGCAGGCCACACACGTCTTTTCCTTTCATGGCGAAGGCGGATAGAGGTCTGTGAAAATTTGCTCTCCGAGTTTTTTGCCAATAGGAACGCATTTTGTTGGCAACAAATTTTGAAAAATCAATAAAAGAAACCGAACGAACTTTTTACTTTAGCTAATAAATTTTAAATTTTTCTATATTTCTTGTAATGAGTCGGGACGAATATTAAAATAAATAATAGTGCGAATTTATAATAATGAATATATTAATTAACAGACTTGTATGGCTTCGAACTCCATGCCGGGGAGAGAATGCAATTTGAAAATCTCATGTTCGTCGCATCAGTACTCGGGTCCTGGCCATACGAATGTTAGCACGCAATTTCAACCATTCGCCCTTAAAAAATTCAACGAAGTCTCATTTTCGGAAAAGCAGACAATTCTTTGATAACTTACTCACTTCGTTGAAGGAACACTTACCGTATCCATGAACTCGGTGAATTTGGAGAAGTAGTACCACCAACACGCATGCACCATCTAAACAGCGCATTATTTTATTTTTCATTTTTATTATTATTATATAATATTATTTTTGGAATAAAAGAAAAAATATATTAGTTTATATGATTCATAAAACTTGTATGGGTAAAAATCAAATATATTTTTGAACTTAAATAAAAGAACCATAATTAAAATTTTTCTATTTTTTTTTTTACAAAGGTCAACGTAACAACAAAATGCAAATAAAATTAAGTTTTCGTTCAAGTAAATAAAATTTTATAAAATTTTTGTAAATGTTTTGTCGGGGTATTTTGAATTAATTTTTTGTGTATACACCAAACAACAAATTAATTTTGTGGGAACTTTTGGGTACTGCGGCTCTCTCGAAATAAATGTGAATAGATTCTAGTTTAGTGAGAAAATATAACCAGTTACCCATTAAACAATTTTAGCAATTTGAAAATCTCATGTGCAGTGCGTATTTTCTTTTTTTATTACTGCAGATTACGTGTAAGAACACAAATTTTTGTGCTACAATAAACCAAAGAAGAAAATCAAGAAAATTACTTCAAAACCCATGTATGTACAAAGTAAGTGTTTATATTTACAGTTGTGTGTGTGTGTTTTTTTTAACAATATACAAAAAATGTTGAAAGTGTGATAGCAACATTTATGTTGAAAGCGTTTAAAGTTGACAGTTTTTAAATGAAATCTCAAATTGTTAATTTAAATATTTTATTGACATCATAAAAATAGCAGATAACCGCGAAGAATTCTCTTTTAGAGACAATTTGCATTTAGATGAGTGCATAAGTTCGTGCCCGATTCCGCTGGATGCCGTTCGAATCGTTTGAGAGTGGCGCTCGTGAAAGAAATATATACATATTATATATCGTTGGAAAGGTGACAGTCCGAACTGTAAATCAAGCATAAAATAACTTCATTTTGATTTGAGTTGAACATTGGGAGTGGATTGCCGAACATGATGGCGAATACATAATTAATTAATAAAAGCGCTTCCTTCAAAAAATTTCAATTTTAGTTTGCACTTGAAATCGGGCACGAACTTGTGCACTCATCCAATATTTATAAAAAGAACTACTGTGACGTCAAAACAAACAGCTGATATTACAGCATTCACGGGGAGAGCCCGAAAGAGCGTTAGGGAGAGATAGAGTTATGTGCACTTTATCACTCGTAAGTATGTTTTGTAACCAAGCAAATTATATAAATTCATAGTTGTAGAACTCGGTGTAAATTTCGGCTCAGAGCTCAAAAACCTCATATATTATGCAGCTGTAAGTTTTTTTTAATTTTTGAAAATTTACAACTCTACACAAAAAAAATTTGATTAATCAAACGCTTTCAACAAAACATGCGGTTACTTCAACAACAATAGTAATAAATAAACGAAATAAAAATGGTAAAAAATAAAAATTACTAAAAAAAAAAAATTAAAAATTTAAATTAAATAGAAAAAATCAAAAACAAACAAAATAAAAAAATTTAGTTAAAAGAAACGCTGCCCAAAATAAAAAATAATAATATTGTAAAAAAAAAATTATAAAAAATTATTTAAATGAAAAAATTAAAAAAAAATCTAAATAAAAAAATATAATTCAAAGTAAAGCTTCCCAAACATTATATATATATATGTATATAAATAAGTACACACCATAATTAGTAATATTTCGAATGTTAGTAACTTATTTAAAGCAAATATGAAATTATGCTCGAAAATAAATACAATAAATTTCATAAAATATATATACATATAATATATAATATAAAAAAAAACATATGTTTATAATAAGTGTTAACTTTTTTGTTGGGAAATGCAGGAAACATAGGGTAGTGTGTTTCTTCAGAGTGCATACAAAATCTCAAAATAAACAAATTTTTGTCTGTGTCTTAACATTCAAGGGATGCAACTCTAGTTACGTACTTTAATAAAAATAAAATAACAACAATAAAAATAATAATAAGAGTAATAATATGGTCATCGCAATAATCACTTAAAACACTTTGTGTATTATCCAGCACATACCCTTAATGTTCTAGGGCTATTACTATAATCGACTGGCTGACATCGGAAGTTATAATGCCCCGTTAGCCAACCGGAAAATGCTATCTGTAAAAGTAGAGAAAAATGGTTTGTTTTTGTTTCTTTTTTTTTTAATTTTAACGTTATTGGCGAATTGTTGAATTGTAATTTGCACTCAAAAGAGCTCTTCATTCATATGTGCATGAATATTTCGAGAACTTGCGAATTCTTGCGTTGCGTTGTTTTTATTTTCTGTTTTATTTTTTATTTATTTTTTTTTTTTTTTTTTTTTGGAATTTGGAAAATAATTCATGAAAAGAAAATCCAATATAATTTTCTCTTTACAGATTAAAGAAAGAAACAAATATTTACACTAAATAGATGTACTAAAGAAACGGAAACGTAGACGGAAACAGAAACAGAAGAACAATAATAAGGGAGAGAGAGACAGAAAGAGAACGAGGAAAATAAGTAAAGAGGAGCATAGGAATGAAGGGATGTTGTTAGTGGGAGTGTGTGATAAGCTGTCATGACCAGCTACTCGAAGGTAGGCGGACAGAACCAAGTATATTTTAAAATCCATTTAATTATAACAAAATAAATATATTAATAATAATAAAATAATAATAAAAGTGTAAATATTTACTTACTTTATTTTTTATATTTAATTTTTAGAAAAATGCTCATTTTTTTCGTACGAACAAAATTGAGCTTAAATCAAAAAATTTATTTAGTCATCTCATTTTAATTTAGAGAAATTTAAAAATTTTTCGTGACTTCAAAAATTACCACATTTTTTAAGAACAATTTTCATTTTAGTCATTTGAGTTGTAAGGTGTTCTTAAGAAATATGGTAATTTTTGAAATCACGAAAAAAATTTAAATTTCTCTAAATTGAAATGAAATTATGACTAAATACATTTTAACAAGTAAGAAGTAATGAATAGTGTTTTCAAATTTATGATTTTCAAAAGACGTTAAATCAGTGATTTATACAAACAACGAAATTTTTTGCTCTAATGGGATTTTTAAATATTTAAATAATATTTATATCAAAAAGTTTTAAAAAATTAATTTCAATATTGGCTTGATAAATTTTAAAATAAACAAAGAAAAAAAATATTGAAAATTTTCAAAATTATTTTTTTTTTCAGACACACGAATATCATACTAGATACATATAATTCTTATAACAATTAAATAAGAATTTCACTTTGGATAATAACGAAACTGTTTTTAAAATTAATAAAACATTCTTGTCATAGATAATTCGAATTTTACCTTACAAAAATCTGTAAATAAGTATGTATATTAGAAAGAAAATATAACTTAGAATGTATTAAATATTAAGGTCAAAGCTAGATGATAAATATACCACAGTCAACACAACTGAACGCTACAAATGATTTTACAATTGTTTTTTTTTCAACACAATAAATTAAATAAACCAAAAATCAAATAGTTTTACAAAAACCAAAAAAAAAAAACTTTTATAAAAAGAACACAGTTTCTAGACACGTTTAAGAACATACTAATATACAAAAAAAACTAAAAGATGAAAAATTAGGCTGCTGCTACGATGAATATGGTGATGAGAATTTTCGGTTTTTATTAAAAAAAAAAATAATAACGCTTTGCGACAAAATTTATTAACTATATTTTTTAATTTGAATTTTACGTTTTTTCTTAAATTTTTCCAAACAAAAAAAAAATAACCCAAAAATCCCTTCCCTTTTCATACTCACTGTAGATGTGAGAGCATAAAAGTCAGTAAAGCTAATGAACGCAATGAAGAAAAATATATGTATGCATAAAAGCAAAAAAAAAAACTTATTTAAAAAATAATAATAATAATAACAATAAAAAAATTACTACCAAAAATTAATAAACAAAACATTAATATTTTTTGAACATAAATTTTAGCAACTGGTGCCGGCTTTCGCTTTTTTAAAGTTAAAGCTAAAATAATAATTTCATTGAAGCGCTATTTTTTGTTTTTGTTTTTCTTCTCCTTAACCTTCCTTAAAGCGTATCCTTTTGCTGTAGAACGAAGCGCAGCTGATAGATGATTTTTTTTATGATAAATATATCTGCAAACTACTACTTCAAGCTTTAACACAGTTATTAACTAAGATGTTTGTATGTATGTATGCATGTATGTAGTTATGTATCAGTGTTACTACTACAAATGCTTAGTTTGACAGCTTTTCATATGGATGTATGTATGTAAATGAAAATATGCGTTTAAATGCAGCTACAAATGCGCAGATTTTTTTTATATTTCTGCTAACTAAAGTTTAAATCGAGATGGAGCGCAGTGTATTATATTTGTTTTTTTTTTTTTTGGAGAAATTTTTCCCATAAAGAGAAGGCGAGTGTAAATTTTTGAATGCCGTGTTTATTTATGGGAAAAAATATGACTTTATTATTATTTCAGTCGTCTATTAAACAATTTATTTCATAGTACAGTGTTGTATTTTGTATTTCTCCGTGTTTTCGTTTGTGCATTGTTTTTGTGTGTATTTTAGGTAAATCAATTTTTTTGTGTCGTTTTACAACTTTGTTTTATTTTCTAATCTCATATATATATATATATATTTTGAATTTAACAAAATCTTATGATTTTTTTATATATATATTTGGTTATCTTTTGTCTTCAATTAAATTTCACTAACACTATTGTATAAACGCTTGAGAAACTTACGCGCTTGGTAGTGGGATCATCGCTATAATCCACGGGCTGGCATCTAAAGCTGTAATAACCCCACCAGCCGCCCATTAAACACTAAAAAAACACATTTCACAAGTAACAAAAAAGAAAAAAAACATATTTTTTATGTAAATAAAAAAAAACTAAGCGCTGAAAAATTGCAGAACGATAAATATATAAAGCTATTAGTTTATGCAATTCAATAAAATATTATTGCAAATATTTTAAAAACTACTAAAAACGAAAAAAAAAACGAAAAACTTAAAAGGGATTATTAAAAAAAGAAGCTGGGTGGAAAGCAAAAGCGCATTTTTTACACTAAAGGGCGCATTAAACAAAAAAACAAATAAAACAAAAAACAAAAAAAAAAAACAAACAAAAAAAAAAGTAAATAAGTAGCAGACGCACTTTGCAGGATATGCGGATTTGTTGGTGTGGAATTAATTTAAATAAAATTTAGAAGTGGGTTATGGTATGCGGGTGTTGATAATAATATATAATAATACTTTTGAAATAATTTTAAATAAATATAAAATACAAATTGTAAGTATATATATATAAGTATATATATGTAGGCATGTAAGTATGTATGAATGAATGATTATTTGTGAGTGTGTAAGTAAGTATTTATTTGTATGCATTTTAATACATGTATTTGTATTTGTATATACATAGAAGTTATAGAGAAAAAAATATTTGCATTTTCATTTCAGTTCGTTGTGCACATACATACGAGTATGTATGTACATATGCACTTTTATCCATATATATCAAACGGCAATATCCTTCGCATGTCCTTGAAATGCAGCGCAAACTCACTGCTATACCAAGCAGTGATTGACTAACAGATTGACACAATATCTCAAAGTGAGTTCATCTTTTTCCGTCACAACATTAGTTTGAGTGCGAGAGTTCGAGCGATTGAATAAATGATTGATGGGTAGTTGGATGATTTATTTATTAATTTCTTTAATTTTCATATTTATTTTTATTTTTCTACGCTTGATCCGCCAATGACCACCAGATGATGTACCCAATTATGTTACTACATACATACCTCATAAAACAGCCATGCACTAAATATCACTTGTGCAGCATTATAAATTATCAATGTGTTTTGTAACCGGAATGGTTTACGATTCTCCATTAATCGTGGGCCAAGCACCTGTACAGTGAGATAAGAAAATACAATGAAAATATTAATAAAATATTGTAAATAATATCGTAAACATACTGTATGTTCATGAAGGCGACGTGCTTATCCATAGGCCATAAATATTATATTTAATAAATATAGTTTTAAATCAATATTTTAGGTATAGAACTTGTTTTAATCTAAACAGAAAGTACACACAATTGTTTGCCAGTTATGAATAGAACTTATTGTTATGGTGCTTGTAAACGTATGTATGTATGTATATGTAAAAGTTCATTATCGATATGTTGGCAGGTAATTCAATTTTTTGGTTATAATTTTTTCATTTTATTTTACATATTTACTTTTGCCGTTCGTTAGTTTTATTTCATTTCATTTTACTCTCATTTAATTAGATTTATTTATTTTTTAAACTTATACCTTATTTTCTTTTCTTTATTTTGTTTTTTTTTATTTCATTACATTTTACTTAATTTCATTTAATTTAATTTAGTTTAAATTAATTTAATTTTATTTTATTTTCTTTGTTTATTTTCATTATTTTTTATTTAATTTAATTTAATACTGTTTATTTTTTATTTTATATCATTTAATTTAATTTTTTTCCATTTTTTTTATTAAATAAATTAATTTCATTTTTTAATTTTTTTAACTTATATTATAATATTTTTATTTTATTTTTTTTAATTATTTTATTTCTATTTTATTTTATTTCGTTGTAATGAATTTTATTTTATTTATTTTACCTTAATTCATTTTATCTTCTTTATTTTACTTTATTTCATTTTGTTTTGTTTTGCTCTATTTTATTTTATCTTTTTTACTTTTTTTCATTTTATCTTCTTAATTTTACTTTATTTTTTTTTAACTTGTTTTACTTTATATCATTTCATTTAATTTTATTTTATTTTCTGTAGTCTTGTTTTATCCCTTCTTTTCTTATTTAATTTTAATTTATTTTTTATTTGATTTGATTTGATTTGATTTGATTTGATTTGATTTGATTTGATTTNTTATTTTATTTTATTTTATTTTATTTTATTTTATTTTATTTTATTTTATTTTATTTTATTTTATTTTATTTTATTTTATTTTATTTTATTTTATTTTATTTTATTTTATTTTATTTTATTTTATTTTATTTTATTTTATTTTATTTTATTTTATTTTATTTTATTTTATTTTATTTTATTTTATTTTATTTTATTTTATTTTATTTTATTTTATTTTATTTTATTTAATTTAATTTAATTTAATTTAATTTAATTTAATTTAATTTAATTTTATTTTGTTAAATAGTTTTATTTTATTCATTTATTTTGTGTTTTTTTATTTTATCTGTTTAATTATGTTTGCTTTAATTTTTTAAACTTTAACTAATTCACTTTAATTTATTTTAACTGATTTAATTTATTTTATTTTATGATATTTATTTAATTTAATTTTTTTTATGTTTTTGAGGTTTTAGCTTATTTTTTATTTTATTTGTTTGTATGATTTAATTATTTTAATTTTACGCCATTTTATTTTACTTTATTTTAATATTACACTACTATTTAATGCAATTTTTATAAATTTAATTATAGATAATTGAATTACGAAAAGATAATTATTTGATACAATGTAGTATTTTTATATTCTTATGAAGCATTTTATAAAATAATTGCTGAAAACTGATAACACCCTTCCATGGGATTCCCATTCAGAAATTGTTTACTCGTTGTACAATATTTTCCTTTATATTAGCAGAAGTTTTATTAGGCCTAATTCTTAACAAAGTGCAAATAAAGATGATAAACACATTGCTTTTTGTGGACTTCGAACTTTATTACAGTCATTGAGTGATTGAATATAAATTTTACCGTGATTACGTAGACAATTTTTTCATAAAGTAAGGGAAAACACACAGTGTACCCGGGCTTTGTATTGGAAATATACAAGTAAATACGTACAACATAAAAAATATTCAATTCCAGACATTGACGAAAGTAGAAGATTATGATTTTATTAATTATAAAGTTTACACATTTAAGAAATTGAATGTGCATGAAAAAAAAAAAACAAAAAAAAACATATTCGCTTGAGTAACTAAACTGCCAGGCTGATTTGCAGTTCATTATTCGTCATTTATTCTAATTGCCTCTCAATGTTTTCGAGCAGTGGTGTTATTTTATATACTTACTTACATGCATAGACATATTATGAACTAAAAATATAAATGGAATGCGGTTGTAACTACCGATTGTGGTTATTTTCACCATGAATATTAGTTAGTATTTAAGCATATATGTATGTCGTAAGGGTATTTAGTAAAGTAAACAATTTTTTGTCGAGACGGTAGTCAGACAGTTATTGGCTAAACAGCAGGTGTGGCAGGCATATCGTTTGAATGAGCATTTAACGTTGTTGTTTTTGGCTGACAGTGAACCACAATTGGTTGTGTGTAAATGAATTATACAAAAATATATCTATGCATATTCATATAAATGTAAATTTGTGTGTGCATATATGTTATATCAAAGGCGGATCCAAAAAACAATATTTAAGGGGAACAAAGTAATTTTATTCCTCAATTCCTTTGGAGTACTCAAAATACCCTTTATTCCCTCATTTACTTGAAATCAGTTTTTTTTACCAAATAATTCTGGTGCCAAAAATTTCAATTACAATTACACTTTGAAGTTTTTTTTGTGGTAAATTTCAGGGGTATGGGGAAGAAATCCCCCCTATTTCCCCCAGCTGGAATCGCCATTATATTTTATATGCATATATTAACGCTTTATTCCGTCAATTAGTTGAATTTGATAGATAAGCATCTCAGTCATAAGCCAATTATTTACATAGGTTAAAATGTATGTACGTCTGTCAAATTAGCTACAATAGAGTTGTAAATGTTTATTATGAGTGCTTGTGAGAAAGCATTTAAAATAATTAATGTCTAATTGGAATTGTTGTGAAATATAACCTATAAATCGATAATTAGGCGAGGGTGTCTAAACTTTCGTAATTATATTTTACTTAAAGTCTTATCTCAGTTTATTTTATTTATTATAATTAACATTAATTCAGTTTAATGCAATTATATAATAATTTAATTTAGAACCAATTCCCATAATTTATTTGAACTTTGTCCGTCAAATTAATTACATTTGATTTTATTTTGTTTCATTTTACATTATTTTATTTTATTCTATTTTATTTATTTTTTTTTGTTTTTTTTTATTTCATTTTATTTTAATTTATTTCATTCCATTATATAGTTCTTTAATTGTCATAAGAAGCTTAATTTAACTTTTCTTTCCCTTTTTTTAAATTTATTTAATCTTTTAGCTTGTTTCGTTTTATAAAATTTAATTAAGTTATTTTTAGTTTTGCTTTATTTTATTTTCATTATTGGTTTCATTTAATTTCTATAATTTTGTTATTAAGTGCTGTTATGTTATTTAATTTAATTTTATTTAATTATTTCATATTTTATTTGAATTTGTTTTATATTATTTTAATAACAACTTTGTTTGTTATTTCATATTATTATTTTTTGTTATGTTATATACAATATAATTTAATTTAAATTATTTTTCTGTATATTGTAAAATTTAATTTAATTTTTTCCGTTTTATTTTATATTAATTTATTTTTTTTGTTTTGTTATATATAATATAATATAATTCATTTCATTTTTTCTGTATATTATAGATTAATTTAATTGTTTTTCTATTTGATTTTATTTCATATTATTTTATTTTAACTCATTTTATTTATTTATTTTTATAAAAATGAAATATTTATTTTATTATATTTATCTTTATATTTATATTTATTTTATTTTGATTTATTTATTTCATTTCATTTATATTATTTATTTCTACTTATTTTATTTTATTTTATTATTTCCTTTTGTTTTATTTTATTAATTTTTTTTTATTTTATTTTATTCTATTTTGTTTTATATTATTTTATTTTATTTTTTTATTTTATTTATCTTATCTTAAATTATGCTGTTTCAATTTATTTTATTTTAAATTAATTTTATTTTTTGATTTAATTTTTTTTTTTTCATTTTGTATAACCTAATTTTCGTTTCGTTTCAATTTATATTATTTTGTATTACTTTATTTTATTTTATTTATAATTTATTTAATTTAATTTTATTTTTTATATATTTTATTTTTTATTATTTTATTTTTTTTAATTTATTTAATTTAATTTAATTTTTTTATATTATATTTTTTTATTATTTTATTTTTTGTTATTTTATTTTAACTTTATTTTATCATTTCAAATTCTCAACATAAACTGTATTATGCGTAAGTGCATTAAATTTTATTTATTGTACATGAAATGAATACAAGTCGTGAAGTCTACCTGCCAGTAACATATTTTCAATTGCTTTAAAAAATCGCTTACCTTAACTAAGTAAACATATGTGAGGCAAACTGCTAATGTGGGGAATGGTGATGACATCATAGGCCAATCCTTTGTCCTTGAATCTGAAATAGAATGAGCAAATAAAAACAGAATAACATTAATGCGAATGTCAGTTGATGAGGAAATGCGAATGAGAAGTGTCTAATACACATCACTTCCATTTAAAATCAGAAATTTATAAAGGCATTCAGATTCATACGACATTTTTAAACACAAATTTGTAATAGGAAAATGTAATTCTAAATATTTAGCGGAAGAAAAGAAACATTTTAACACTCACTTTCTTCCTGAATCAAGTTAATCAAGCTCGTTGTTATATATTAGAATTATAAAATTTTTTTAAATGAAGCAAAAAGTTAAAATTACAGAACAATCCCCAAGAGAAGTTTAGAAGGTTTTATGTGTTTTTTTTTTAATTTTAATTTTTTAGTTTTATTAAAAAATATTTATTTATATTGAATTAAATTAAAATAACGATTTATAAAACAATTTTTTATCAAGGAACAATCTTTAACCAATGTTTAACTGGCAACTCCATTAGTCAATGGTGGAGTCGTTGACACTTCATACTGCTCTCATGTATACATACATTTTTATGCGTGCATATAAGCTCATGCCCGTAATAATCAGCTTTCGAATTTTGGTTTCGGGATGTTAATTTGACTAACCTTGAATGATGTAACCGTTTTTGTTTTTGTGCCTTTCATAAACGATCAATGAAGACTTTAAATAATTTTCGGTTTTTTTTCATTGTCGTATTCGTTCGTACTTTTCTCAATTTTTTTTTTAAATTTTTAAAATTTTTTTTTTTATATTTTTTTTTAAATTTTTTTTTATTTTGTTGCTTTACTAAAACAATTTAACACATAGCTACTAATTAATAATAGTCTATCGGCAGTTGAACAATGGGTTAGCATAGTTGGCACGAGTATCTCCTAAATATGTGTTAAGAAATGAGTTTGATATATGTATGTGTACACATGGTTATTTACATACATATAATACGTAAGGAATGTATTCCCCAATCGATTGGTAATATCTTTACTTCATAAGCAACAACATTTTTGACCTTACTGAAGATTTTGAAATGTTTTATAAATAATAATAAAATTGGTAAACACTTGGTGCTAGGTCCGGACTATAAGCTGGGTGCATTAGGAGCTGCCATCCCAGCTCCTGGAGCTTCTGGCGCGTCACCAAAGATGAGTGTGGCCTGGCGTTGTCCTGATGGAACACAATTTGGCCTCAGTTGATCAAATTTGTAGTCTTCTGGATGAGTGCTGCTTTAAAACGGTCCATTTGTTGGCAGTAGAGGGCCGAATTAAGCGTTTGTCCATAAATGATTCCTTGCCAATCCCACCAAACACACAGCAAAACCTTCCTGGCCGTCAATCCAGTCTTGGCCACCGTCTGGACCACTTCCTCGAGCTTTAACTACGACCGTTTGCGCTCGATGTTGTCGTAAGTGACCCATTTTTCATCGTTAGTCATAATCCGCTTCAGAAACGGGTCGATTTTGTTGCGATTCAGCAGCGATTCGCAGATGGAAATCCGGTCCATCATGTTTTGTTGCGTTGGTTCGTGTGGCACCCAAACATCGAGCTTCTTTTTGTAAATGGTTCCAAATGACTGTCTGGCTTATCCTTAGTTCCTCAGCAATAGGAATAAGCGCTCACGCGACGGTCTGTTTCTACTATTTACATGATTTTAACGCAATTTTCGATGACAGACCTCCCGACGCATGGTGCATCTTTGACATCGAAATTACCGGAACGGAGCCTAGCAAACCACTTTTGGGCTACATATTCGTTTACAGTATCCGGCCCATAAACTATATTAATTTTTTCAGCCGATTTGGCTGCTTTTTCGCCTTGATCGAAGAAAAAGTGTAAAATTTAGCGAATTTTCTTTTTGCTGGTGTCCATCTTTGAAGAGCGCTCACAACGTACTGAGTCAATCAATCGAAAAACTGTCAAAGACAAACTTTTAGCACAAATAAACACGTTTTCAGCGCCATATAGTATGACATGATGCGACACGTAACACTGGTACTATGGACAATAACGCCATCTATTAGATAAAAAACCGAACGAACTTTTTACTTAACCTACTATTAGGTCTAGTAAAAAATATTAAATCAATTTTGCATTAAGTTGAAGGCTTTATTTACCAGAGTTAGAATTATCGCTGGAAATATTCCATTTAGGTCAAATACAAGTATGCACCGTTTTGCTCTATTTTCACAGGCTTCTCGCCATAGACAGAGTTTATTCAAAGGGTGAAAAACATGAAACTAAACGACCGTGTTGTTTCGATATCCAAATTCAGCTTTTCTATAATATTGTGGCTTTGGTTTTACATAGCTAAGATAAATATAGCACAAAGGTGGATGCGTAAGAATCTTCAAAGTAAACTCTTGGAGCTTCCGGCGAACCATTATCGAAGTGTGTGGTCAGGCGATGTCCTGATAAAAAAGAATATCCTGCTGTTGGCCAAGATTAGGCATTATTTGTCCGAATTATGAGTAGATCATAGTGTATGATTCCTTGGCAATATCATCAAACAAACAATAAAACTTTCTTGGCAGCCAATCTTGGCTTAGAAATTATTTCGCCCACTACCATTTTCTTCGGAAATTCGCTTTATGAGCTTTTTTCTCGACAACTCATGTGACACCAGCCTTCTCAAGTGGTTTCAAAATGTTTTTTGAGCAAAGCTTTACTCCTGGGCATCGCATGACCGGCAGACTCGACGATTTCCAATACTTTATCTACAGTTTTGACAATTAACCTTCGCCATTGTAGATCATATTTTACATTAAAATCAGAACAATATCGACAAAATCAAAGTTGTCATGATTGACTGATTGATTTTTAATTTTCCTTTATTTGCGTTTTTGTCTTTATTGAAGAAAAACTGTAGAATACCTTATTTTCTCTTTGAGATGCGCTCAAACACTGCTAAGTTGGGTGATCAACACGTCTCCCATTATTTGTTTTAGTAGAAAATACATATCATCTTTCTATCGGCATTTAGCGTTATTCAATCGCATAAATAAAGCGCGAGATACAGTTCACTAAAGAAATATATTGCAAAAATATTATTAAGGAGGGAAGCTGGTCTAGAATTTTGAAAAAATCGAAAGGTGGTTTAGGGTCATAGAAATAACATACCAAAAGATGGATGCCGGCAAAAATGTCTAAATGCACAAATTTTTTCATTCGACGGCAGTGCCTCGCAGGTATGCCCCGAGCGACTTACAACGTTGAATGCGTTTTTCTTGAAATCACTTTTTTTAAACTGGCCGAAGACATGACTCGAACAAATCTTATTACCTATTCTTACGAAATTTTGACAGTACATTCGAAATACCGTTCTCCGAAGACGTACGTAGGATTTTTTTTGTATTCAATAGTTTTTTTTTAATCAACAATTATATATCGTTGTTTATAGTGAAATTTATAATTTTTTGTTGAAATATGTTTAACAGATTTTTGACTGCTTCTTTGTTGAGTCAAAATAAATTCATAAAATATGCCCATTTTTTTGCGCTCTAGACCAGCTTCCCTCCTTAATAACAGAATGTAACTGACTAAGAATTTCTTTTGGGATTGACTAGAACAAACGTCTCTGTCAAGATAATTATAAAAATAATGGGAGACGACTTTTACGTACGGATTGGAAATTCAGCTCCTCTGAAAAACAATTTAAACTGAACGCCTTATGTGACCCATATATAGGTGTTATTGGATAACACTAGAAAATAATGCAGTAAATGGTTGTAGTTCGATCAAAGAGCTTGTAAATGTAATAAATCGATCTCGATATAATAGATGCCTGCCTTCAAGTTTTTACATGTCTTTTGAATACAATATTCAGACGAGACAAAATCTAGACAACTCTTCAACCCGACAGGGCCAAATGACTTGTTTTTCGTTTTTATTGAAATCACTTCACCAATTTACCAAAGAAATTAAATTAAATACATATTTCGGTCATATAAAGAAAAAAAAACATTATTCTCTGCTGTATGAAAATATTAAAATGTTTTTAAAAAATCTTGTGATTTTGTTCTGGAATCATTTGCCTAGATTGTGCCGTCATAAGTCTTTACTGTTTTAGGTCTGGATTATGGCTTTGAGTCGGGATTTCGTTACACACCCTGAAGAGATAAACACTTATAGAAGCAATCAAAAATAACACATTTCGTGTGGTAAAGCTATCGATATCTTAAAATAGAGGAAAGAAAGTTTTTCGGTGTAAAATAGAGACCAAATTACGTGAGTACGAAGCACTTTCGTCGCAGGCCAACCGAGCAAATGCTAGAAAACTGAGCTTACAAACGAAACTGATTTTAAGGAAAGAATGTTTCTTCAGGCTATAAGCCTGGATATGGGTAATTCGTACTCCAGATAGCTTATCGACTGAGCTGTTATATGCAGAATTTTATAGGACAAAACCATAACTGCAAATTTTCATTTGAAAGAAAAGAAAATGGACTACACACACTGCGCCAATTATTCTGAGATATTTGTTCTATGCATAAAATGTCTTAAGGATTAAAAAAAAAAATTAAAAAAAAAATCATCACGCATCAAGTAAAAGAAAAATATTGCAATCAAAGACATCAACGCTCTCAATGAAATTATCATCACACATGCTCTGCGCTGCCTGTCGCCACTTGACGATGTTGTCATTTGTCAAAAATCCAAAACGAACAGGAATTGATATGTGTTTTGAATATCAAATGATATACAAAAGAAATGAAAAAAAAAAAATATAAAAACAAAATTGCATAATCACAAAATACTTCAGCGCATATATACACCCACATGTATGTATGCATGTACGCACCTAAATACAAATATATACAATAGAAAAATATTATGCATATTAAATTATTTGCTTGCAAAAGTGATAAGAAGTCAAACACTGAATACTACAAAACGGTTTAAAGTTTATTCTTCTTTAACGCACAGCTGGGTGGGTACCTGGGCGTATAAGGAACAACAAAGCACAAACATTACCAAGCAAATTTAAGTTCTCAAATAATATTTTATGCAAAGCCTGGGTGTGGTTTTTGTTATACATACTTGTATGTATATGCCGCCACCGATGCCGTCGATATGCCTTTTCAATATGGATTTTGCGCCATGATAAGCGTTTGATTAATGTGCTTACGGCGAAACATACATACGATTGTACGATTAATATTGCTGCATGTACTTGAGTACATATGTACATTTGTACATATGTATGTTGACAAATTTTGACACTGACAACAAACAGAGTACATCGTTATGCAGATATTGTAGGTGTTTTGAAAACATACATATATACATATGTATGCATGTATACATATATGTATGCAAGTATATATGTATGTAGCACATACTTTGATATTACACAAATGTTTTTGTGTACCGATGTCGTCGGCATTGTTTGTGCACACACAGTGTTACATACGAGTACACATGTTGCTGTCACGTAGCGATTTACCTTTAACGTTTACCATTTAATCATTGCTTTTTTTAAATACAAATAATTTTTTTTTCTTTTTTTTTTACTTTTGCCTATTTACTTATATTTATTTCACTGCTCTTTTTCAGTAACGCTTCGGCTATAATGAAGCTGTCGCAATGAATGGCGAATTATGTGGCAATCAATTTATTTGGCGGATTTTTCACAGTGATTTATGAAAATGGTGGCAATTCTACTCAAGGGATTGCATGGGCTTAGTTGCGGGGAAAAGGATTACTAAAAAAAAAATCAAATAAGAAATAAGACATTTTAGTCAAACCAATTACCCTTTTAAAGATATATTAGGTCAAGTAATAAGTAATCCATTATTTTTGGAAAAATGCCCTTAGTGATCTGCACCTCACGTTGTCTAAGCGTAATCCAAGCTTGAGGTGATATTTTGTGCTAAAAAAAAAATAAAAATAGGAGAAGTGTTGATCACTCAACTCAATAGTGTTTCAGCTCATGTCAAAGAGCAAGTAGAAAAAGGGTATTCCACAATTTTTCAACAATAAAGGCGAAAACGCAAGTCAAGCAGCTTAAAATCAGGCAGTCAATCAAACAACCTTGATCTCGTCGATTTCTCCTCGGTAACTATGATGAAAAATATGCCACACGGTGTAGAAAATGTTGATAAAATAATGAAAATTGTCCGGCTGGGCCGTCAAGCGAGCACTGTTTCGATTTTCCAAGTGATAAACTTTGCTCAAAAAACAGGTTGGAACCATTTGAAAAAGGCTGGATACAAACAGAAGTTCGATGTATTCGCGCCACAGGAGGAATCGAGAAAAAACCACATGGACCGAATTTCTGTCTGCGAATCGCTGCAGAACGGTAACAAAATCAACCCACTTCTCTAGCGTATGGTGACTGTTGTTGATAAGTGGATCATTTACATCAGCGTCATGGTCGATCGGCACAAATCGTCTGCAAGCCACGATGGGCGGGCAGAAAAGTTTTGTTGTGTTTAAAGCTATTACCAAGGAATCATCCAATATGAGCTGCTTCCATATGGTCAAACTCTTAACTCCGGCCTATAATGCTGGCAATTGAAATCGGGAAGCGTCGTCCTTCTAAAGGAAGCACTAACAAGAAACAACAGGACAATTTGGTTTCATCAGAATAATGCCAGACCCTACACATAGATAGTAACTCTGAGAGCTATGTTGGGAGATTCTTATGCATCCATCTTATAGTCTGAACCTAGCGCCATGCATTCCTCTCAATAGCAAATGGTTTGGCTGGTGAAGAATTGGTCTCAAGAGGAGCTTGTGCAATTTGTTTGTCCAAATTTTTAGGCAATCCTTGTGTTTTTAGTAAAGAGGGATAATGACAGGACCTTTATAATTTGACATAAATCGGATACTTCAACTATGATAAATAAAGGCTAAAATAATGGATGACTTGTAACTTGACCTAATATATGTACATGTGATATAAAATTTCTGAAATTTTCAAAGGAAAATATTTATAACTCTGTGTCAGCGTTAACCGCAGAACATGCAACGCATGACAGAATCATCCGAAGTGGAAAATAAGCAGGCTGTCTTCATCCAAGCCGAAATCATTATAAAAATCTCATAACTACCCTAAAGGTCGGCTCGATCGATTGAGCATTTCAAATACTTTTGAATTCAATCTAACCGCTAAATATATTGATACTGATCATTTAGTTAGTTAAACAGCTTGCTCGATAGCGGAACCTCTCTTGATGATACCTATGTTGGCTCTGTTAAGAAGGTTCTTCTCACCTTTCCAGATGCTCAAACCACTTGGTGAATTCTACGAAGTTCAGGAAATTAATGATCCCTAGATATGCAAGCTATGCTAAGCAATCGAATAAGACATTCCCGAGAAATCGATATCAGACCGCAGAGCCCAAGAGAGAGAGACCAGGGTAATGACTATCCCTATCCTATAAGCGGGTAGCCAAACCACAGACGTTTCCTACATAGTCGTGAAATTCTATAACTTTCGAAAATAAAAGTACAAAACTAACCTCTTTCCATTTTATATATAATAAAAAGCATCTAGCGAATCCTTTTCTTACAACTGCCGCCTAAGAACAAAGTCGACGGAAAGAAATATTTAAAAAATATATTAAAAAAAATCTCCGAGTTAAATATTTTATAAGAGGCAAGGTCAAACATTTCTGAGCAAACACGTTTAGTGTCAAAAATTTCGAAGTGAAACTACTTTATATAATTTTTTGTTTCGTGTGTATCTGAGTATAGTACTAAATTTCACGCTTTAAGATATTTTTTACGGGTTATTGGGTCAAGCCTGGAACTTCGAACTAGCCCTCGTTCGATGATTTTCGGGGATAAAAATTAATTGTATATACGTGTGTAGAGTACAGAATTTCATATGCTCAGATGCTCTTTAGATGGTTTTTAGACACATAACCTCATTTTCGAACGAAACGGTTTTTCATATGATGACCATATAGGCCTCCGATTTCTATGATTCTCGATGCCACTACTTATTTCTAGGCACGGGTGTAGAGTACCAAATTTTACGTTGACAGATGCTTTATTGAAGGATTTCTGATCTAAAAGTAGGTGAAGTGTTTTTAATGGAAACTTTTTGAAACAAAGCTTGATTCACTAACTTAAAGCCTTCACTGATTTAATATAAGAACATATTCATACACTTTGTTGCCACCTGCTATCCATGTCATTAATATCATTACATTTTGATTACATGCAATTATCAATTTATCACCAACAAGTCCTTTACTTTACGTTAACCATACCAAACTCACACACATACACACACATATTTGTAAATATGCAACAAATAGTTATACATATTTGTAGTGCCAACTTACCGCCATGTGAGTCCATATATCTCTGCATACTGTCAATGTATTTCATAATTAAGGCCATTGTGCTAACTGTGTATTGCTAGTTGTGCTAGTCTATAAGCCGTGTCGGAAAACCGTTGCTCCTGCTGTTCTACTGCCGTGGTTGTTGCTATTGCCGTTCTGTGTTGGTGATTGTTGCTTAGTGCATACAACTTTGATTACTTTGTTTTACAAATTTTTTCCACTACCACAATAACTAGGGGGTTACGTTTTGCCTTTCCTTGCTATTCACCGCTCTTCGGTACACGCTGTTGGCTGACCGTTGACTTTGTTGACGTTTGAAGTTCAATTTTTTATATGGAAATTTTACTTTTCACAGCTATTTGTTTTTTTGCTCTCATTTGTTGCTATAACTAGACTTTTAGCTTTCCGTTGTGCACTTTTGTTGTTGTTTATTTATTGTGTATATTTTTGTTTTTGTTGTCGTAGGTGATTTCGCTGTGGATAGGTTGATTGGTTAGCGTTATCTGTGAATAGGCAAATTGGTAACAATTATTTAATAAAGTGTAAAATTGTACAAGTTAAGCTAAAATTATTTAATAGAATAATTGCATTACAAGTCTGAAAGGAAGTCACGTTTTAATAAGCAAGAAGTATAATTTATCGTGTCCACTATGGTTATTTTTGGATAACGGAATTTTCAAAATATACGTATAAGTTATCCTTTCTACTCTGCTAAAACACATATACACATCTAAATGCATATATTGAATTGGCATTGATAATAGAAAATGGATTTTGAGATGCCAAGGGACAATTCCCCCAAAAGTTCTTAAATTAAACTAGCAATAATATACAAAATATATTTCATTTATTTTATTTGACTTCAATTAATTTAATTTTATTCACTTTATTTTTATTTTATTTTATTATATATTTTTGCAATTAGATGAAATTGAAGTTAATGTTTTTTTTTTAAATTTATATGCTTTATTTAATATAATTTTTTATTTTATTTTATTTTATTTTATTTTTTTGTTTTTTATTTTATTTTATTTTATTTTATTTTACTTTTTTTTATTTTATTTTTTTTTATTTTATTTTATTTTATTTTATTTTATTTTATTTTATTTTATTTTATTTTATTTTATTTTATTTTATTTTATTTTATTTTATTTTTTTTTATTTTATTTTATTTTATTTTTTTTATTTTATTTTATTTTATTTTACTTTATTCTTGTTTCTTGATTTTTTTTATTTATTTTATTTCGTTTAATATATTTTATTTTAATTCATTGCTATTAATTATCAATTATATTAATTACTTTTATAATTGTACGTTTTTTATTTAATTTAATTTAAATTAATTTATTATATTTCGGTTTATATTATTAACTTTATATTATTTCATTTTATTTCATTTTACTTATTTTAGTTTTGCTTATTTTATTGATTTTTGTTGTATTTTATTTAATTTAATTTGATTTGATTTTATTTAAGTTTATTGTATTGTATTTAATTTAGTTTAATATAAATTAATTTAATATTAGCTCATTTGTTTTGATTATGTTTTGTTTTATTTTTATTTTTTTAATTTACTTTATTTCATATTATTTTATTTACTATAGGTTTTTGATTGATTTGATTTTATTTTATTTTATCTTATTTTATTTTACTTTATTGTATTTTTCAAATTAACTTTATTCATATGTTATTTTAGTTTAATTTGTTTGCCTTATTTGGCTTTAATAAATTTCCTTTAAAATAATTTTATTATTTAGTTTAATTATTTAATTTCATATTATTTTACTTTATATTTATGAGTGTGTTTAATTTAGTTAATTTATTACCTTCCTTATTTATTTTTTGTATTAATTCTATTTTAATTTAGCTTACTTTATTTGTTTCGTTTTATTTCATTTTTTTCTGAGTTAAAATCCACTTTTGTGTCATCATTTTTGGGTATCAAAAGGGACACAAATATTTCAACTGCCACACCTCATTGATCTTTCATTATCGATAACGGTGTTTTTGTTACTTTACAAATGACCACTTGCGTTGTTTAATACTCAAGCGATTATAATTGTTTCCAGTTACTGTCAATTTCGCGCCATAAATTTGTTTGTTAATCTAAATGATAATCGGACATAAACGTTTTAGCCGTAATTGAATTAAGGACTTGTGTGATTTTAATGGTCTACATATAAGTATTATAAAATATTTGCGATGAAATTATAGTCATAGATTTTTGGTAATTTTTTTTTTTATTTTTTATGAGCAAGGAGAATTACGGTTATTCAGTCAATAAAATAAGCAGCTGTGATATTTTTTATAAAGGCCAGGATTATAATATTTTATTGCTGCTAGAAAACTGTTAAACCTGAATGGATGTTATTAGTATTGAAAAGTATACATACATACGTGTTAATACATATGTGTGTTATTTTTAGTGAATACCCAAACTCAAATTGGGTAAAATTTTCCAGTTTGTAAGCTTGAACGTGTCGCAATAATATGATAATTCTTAGTAGATTAGCTTGGTATGTGGGTTATATACAGCAGGTGTGTGCAGTAAATTACCTTTATATAACAGAGTTTTGGGCAATTCTGCTGCCACTTATCACTTTTATTCTATTATCTTTTTGTTTATTTAATTTTGATAAAAATATATCTCGCACTTTTGACGCGCTGATAAGTGTCAAGTGCCAAGAATCAAACTCTATTATGTGGTTTTCTTCATTTATGTCTTTAATTATTTGTTTTTTTCTGAGTTTGTGTATACATATGATGTTGTGCTTGACAGTTTATGCCAAATTCGCATGCCAGTTGGCCATTTCAGCGACAAAAATTTGACTTTATTAAGTGCTTGAGCCATTGTGTAGGGAATTCACTTTTGTTTTATTAAAACAAAAAATATGCGCACAAATCACTATCATTGAAATTCATCTAGAAAACCACATTTCCAAAAAACACCCTTTATAATAAAAAAAAAATATAATAAAAATTATCACCGAAAATCATGGACATCGGGAAACTTCAACTTCTAATCAATTTTTCAGATATGAAAATTAAAATTTAAGCCTTAAATTACTTCAAATTTGATGTCATTAAAGTGTGCCAAGTCATGAAAGGTGTAAAGACAGCGCTTCTTTCTTATTGTTCTTACTGATATGAGATGTGGGTGTGAAGAAAATATTGGAAAAAGATACATTCTTGATAAAAAGAAATGAAATCAGCTGAAATTCAAAATTTCAACCATTTGGTTGTTGGGCGTATCTCTTTCATCCATGGCAACAAAAAATTAAGAAGAAGAAGAAGAAGAAGAAGAAGAAGAAGAAGACACAAGAGTATGCCATCATAATCATTATCATCCACATTGTTCGCTATTGTGGCTATTGTTCCATAGAAATAAGGAAAGAAAATGAAAAATTACTTGTACTTATGCACACACATATATACACATGTATATGTACGTGTATATGTGCTTACATGACTGTAATTTGTAATTTTTTGGACGCATTTTCATCAAACTGTTGCACGTTGAATAGGGTCAAGGGCGTAAAGGTTTTGTTATCATTTCCATATATATGTATGTATGTATGTATGTTGTAAGAAATTGACAAAGCAGTGTTAAATGAAAACGAATATGTGCACGATTTTCAGTTCTGCATTTTTAACTTTTCTGCCTTATTTTTCACCTACTTTCTTTGCTCGCCATCAGCTTTATGTGTTGGATTGCATTAATACTTTTGCCATTGCAGATAACTATGCACATACTACATATGTATACATGTATGTATGGACATAGTTCACTGCACTGACACTTTTTGTTATTGTTGTTGTGTTGCAGCATAATTTTTGCATTCGTTGCAATCTTCAATGTTTTTCCTTTTTACATTGTTGTTATTGTCATGTGCAACAGTTGTCTCATTGAATTGATGCAGTATACATATGTAGTATATATGTATGCACATGTGTATAAAGGCCAGCGTGCGTTTTAGTACAAGCTAAAAGATACAACGTATATACTCGTACGTGTCGAGCCGATTTGCTTAGTTTAATTTGGTCAAAGCCACAAATGTGCTGAGTCAATAGCAACAAAGCGTTGTCTGGCCAATGCATTGACGGTAGTTGGTTAAGACTTCTGTAGGTAAGTGCAAAAATTATGAATATTTAATTTTGATCGAAAATTATATAGAGATTTTATAATATTCTTTTATTTATACATATGTATGTATGTGTATATTAAATATTTATGTAAAAAGTATATAAAATATGATTTGATTAAAATATGCGTTTTCGTATAAGCCTTGTGCTCTGTTTTAATTCAATAATTGAAATGAGTTCCTGTTGTTGTTGGCTTTAGAAAATTGGCAAAAAAATTAAATTCGAAAAAAATGTACTAATTTTTTTATGATGTTTTGTAAGTAGAATGAATGTAACTGAAAGTTTGTAATTTTATAGAAAAAAAAATTATTTTTAATTTGTTCTTAAGTTAAGGAATTAAGCTTAACTAAGTTTTTATTAATACGTTAATAACGTCGATCGTCGACAAATAATTTCAACCACTCGTAGTTTCTCTTTAACTTGAAATAAAAGATCCTCATAAAAATACCAACAGTCCTGCAGCAGCGACTTAAGCTGCAACTAGCCAAAAATAGCTCAGCTGCCACAATCTATCTCATGAGAGCGCCACGAAATGAATCGAAAGCTATCCAAGGTTGCCGTTATTGACTTTTATAAACGAATTTTAAATGAACAAAGAAAATGCATTTTTTCAAAATAAATATAAACTGAATTAATTATTTATTAACATATAGATCATGCATATATGTTTGGCGTCTATATTCGAACATATAAATTATGAAATTTGTTAACGAAAAGTATAAATTTACTTAAAAGTGGGCAAGCAAACTGGCAGCTGGCAACATTTCGCCGCTGCAAGCAACATCGACAGCTTGTGTATCCATAACTCCTTCCAGTGGGGTTTGTTGAAAAAATATTAAGATTTAAAAGTTGGTAAGGTTGAACAAACAACAGCTTTGAAATTCATAGAAAATTTTATTTTTCAAAATTTGCTGATAATTTGTTTTTAATTTTAACTTCTTTAGGACCGTCTTTTCTGGGGCCTATTAAAATGTAACTTCTCTTTAAACGCGTTATCATTTCTTGGACTGCCTGTTTTAGAATGTGGCTGTTAAACTTAAGAGCCGATCAAAAGCGCTGGTTAAAAATTTATTATTACGACAGCGACATCTTTCCTGTTTACAAACATAAAACAGCTGATTTACAAATTTATTTATTTTCTTTTGCCATAATATATAAATATAATGGAAAATAGGTGGATATTTTATATTCATGAGCTTTAGGAGAGGTTTGAAGAAGCCGCTGTGCGCTGTATTTACTAAGGAAATTTAATAGAATTTACTTTATTTACGTCTAGAACAGCTGATTAATGTAGTTTCTTATTTTCTCTTGGCAGCACTGCCACCTTTTATCTATTTATCAATAAACATTTAACAGGAGG